AAGCTACACAGAGAAACCCTGTCTCGAAAAACCAAAAAAAAAAAAAAAAAAAAAAAAAGATTAAAAATTGGACGACTGTGATCCTCAATTCTACTGGGATTCCCCCAAAGAATTGAAAGTTGAGTCCTAGAGAGAAATATCTATACATTCGTGTACATAGCAGCATTGTTCACAAAAGCTAAACCATGGAAGCTATCCACATGTCCATTGACAAATGACTGGGTAAGCTAAGCATAGCTTGTGTGTGTGTGTGTGTGTGTGTGTGTGTGTGTGTGTGTGTGTGTGTGTGTGTGTGTAAATGACATCTAGCCTGTTTCATATTAGGCTGGACACAGGGCTGGTCACTCAGGCAACCTGCTGTCCTTAGCCTCAATATTTACACCTGCCACATAGCCACTGAGGGGGAAGGAGTTATTATGCCTGTGGGTCTAGAGCGCAGAGACAGGACAGGGATGGGAAAGGGAGGAAAGGGCCAGGCTGGCTGTCCCCTTCGGTGCCGTGACTTTTGACGTCCTCTGCTTAATGAAGAGGAAACCTCACATGGACATAGCATGAGACATTTGCAGCCAAGAAGACACATTCCCTTCGGTTGGAGCCAAACTCACAGAGAAGCTGGAGGGGGGGTGGGAGTGGGGAGGAGGAAGCTGCTCAGGGGAACCAGGGCAGAGACCTAGGGGAGCTAATGGAGGAGGGGAGGCAGGATTGCCCCCTTCAGACCCTAAAGGAAGACCCTCAGGAATTGAAGATGGGTTAAGATGGGGTGGGGACCAGTCCAGGGAGGTCTGCAGTCCCTTAGATTTGTAGTGCTCTATGGAGGGCTTCCTCTCAGACATGGCATTTTATGAGCGGAGTGTTCTTAGCTGCTAAGTGTCAGTATTCCAGTCTCATAGCCAAGCTCAATGTGTCAAGTCCCCTCCCCACCCCCCTAGACAGGGTTTCACTGAGTAGCCATGGTTGTCCTGGAACTCACTCTGTAGACCAGGTTAGCCTTGAACCTTATACGATATCTGCCTGCCTCTGCCTCCTGAGTGTTTTTGTTGTTTTCTGTTTTTCATCAAGTTCAATGTCAAACCAGGTCTATCCTCTCTTTCCTCATCTTGGAATTATCCTGCAGGAACTTTGGCCCATTCAGAGAATAAAACTTGAGACTCCTGGGTGGTGGTGGCACACGCCTTTGATTCCAGCACTTGGGAGGCAGAGGCAGGCGGAGCTCTGAGTTCGAGGCCAGCCTGGTCTACAGAGTGAGTTCCAGGACAGCCAGGGCCACACAGAGAAACCCTGTCTTGAAAAACAAAAACAACAAACAACAACAACAACAAAAAAAACCTTGAGACTCTCTGCTGTGGATGATTGATAGCTAAATAAAATGCTGACTGGCCAGTAGCCAGGCAGGAAGTATAGGCAGGACAAAGAGAGAGAATTCTGGGAAGTGGAAGGCTGAGTTAGGAGACGCCAGCCTGCCGTCCAGGGAGCAGCATGTAATGGCACACAGGTAAAGCCACAGAACCCGTGGCAACATATAGATGAACAGAAATGGGCTGAGTTTAAGTGTAAGAGCTAGTCAGTGGTAGGCCTGAGCTAATGGCCGAGCAGTTTAATTAATTTGAGCTTCTGCGTGATTATTTTATAAGTGGTTGTGGGGTCCGTGGGGCTGAGCAGGACTGGAGAAAGCTCCAGCTACAACTCTCTGCCCTGTCACTGTGTTCTGATCAAAACAGGCAAGAAACTCTGACATCCCACGTGCCCAGGATGGTTTCTCAGGTGGGAGGGGAGTTTCTTCCCCAAAACTGAAGACAGGAATAGTATGTGTTATAAGGGCTTCTCAATTCAGAGAGGGACCCTGGTGCCTTGTCCACTCTTTGCTTATCACAATGCAAAAGGATTTTTTTTTTTTACTTTTATTAATTTCTAAAGTGTTTGCCAAACTCTGGGCTGTTCTTCCTCGCTGAGCCCTACTGTCTTTCATAGGACCAATCTGCTGGTCCTCCTGGACCTGGGAAAGGACTTTCTGGTGTACGAGGCTCACAGTCCTGCCGTCTGACAGATGCACCTGCTCCATGCCCTCTCCCCCCACTTCAGAGTCACATTTCCTCGGCTCCCTCCTTCAACAAATGTCTGTCCCTGCCTTGGCCCTTTACACAGAGGGTGGTCCTTGCTCCTGACCAGCCTCCCCTTCCTCCCCGCTCATCTCAGCCTCGGTCCCTTGGGTGCTGGACAGGCTTCCTGTCTGCATGTCTTGGGGCTTGACTCTGCTGTCTTCTCCTTCCACCGGACACGTGTGGCAGGTTGTGGTCCTCTTCTGGGCACTGGCAGTGATCTGACATCTTTCAAAGACTAGGGTTGGTCTTTACATTAGAGCCGTCACCTGCATGAGGACATTCTTGGAGCCTCAGGCCTCAGAGACCTGCTGGAGCTTCTTGGCATAGCTCCTAGGCTCCTTCTCAGGCCTGGTTTCCCTTCCTGCCCTGCCAAATTCAATCCCAAGACACTTCATCTCTGATCCAAGGCCCTCAACCCCAGCACAGCACCCAGCACGTAGTAGATACTTATGATTTCCGTTGACTTGGAATCAGAATGGGGACATACACACTCACTAATTGATTTTACTATTGTATGCAAACATAAACCTAGATGTCATATGTTATATGATATATATGTGTGCATATATATGGAACACCTATGTGATTGCTTCTATAGCCATGATGGACAAAATATGAGATTCAATTAAATACAAGAAAATGATACAATCATGAGCGAACATGAGGTGCCTGAGGTTGCTATGGGTATAACATTGTACACTGGGGTGTTTGTGTATGTGTGTGATATTTGTGCATGTGTGCACACCAGTGTGTACTGACCCACAGGCCCATGCCTGCATGTGAGGCCATAGGTCAACTTGGCGTGTCTTCCTCTGTCATTCTCCATAGTATTTTTTGAGACAATACTTCTCACTGAATCTGGAGGTTGCCATTCAGCTAGACTGACTGGCCAGAGAACCTGGGATCTTCCTGTCCCAGCCTCTTGGCCCTCTGCCCCAGCACTGGAGTTATACACACACTATCATGCTCAGCTTTTTTATATGGTTCTGGCACTTTAACCTACTGAGCCATCTCCCTATCCCATAATATGCTGTTTTACTGTGAACTTGCTTTTTTTTTTCTTTTTAAATAAGTAAAAGGCCTACACTCAGCCGGGCGGTGGTGGCGCACGCCTTTAATCCCAGCACTCGGGAGGCAGAGCCAGGTGGATCTCTGTGAGTTCGAGGCCAGCCTGGTCTCCAAAGCGAGTACCAGGAAAGGCGCAAAGCTACACAGAGAAACCCTGTCTTGAAAAAACCAAAAAAAAAAAAAAAAAAAAAAAAAAAAAAAGGCCTACACTCTAAACTAATGATAAATGAGCCGAGCTGAGGCTTGGTGATAAAACCCATGCTTATCGTACATAAGACCCTGTGTGTGACTCCCAACACACACACACACATACACAAGTTAAACATATAGAAAAATTATACTTGGCAAGAGAAGGGGTAAAGTTGTAATACAATAATCAAACCAGTAATATAGCCATCTATTACCAAGCATTTTGCTCTGTACAATCGCTATAATGTATCTATGGTTAAAATTCCTTCCTGAGGAAGACACAAACAATGTCTACCCCTCCTAAGGTCCCAATGACAAACTAGGGTATAATTCTAAAGTTCACGCTGGGAAACCAGTGGGTTTATTAGGCTGGCTTACAGAGTAGTGGGTGAGGTTTGCTGTGGAACAATCCTTTCTACACTATGAACATATATTACTCTCACTGGTTAATAAAAGGCTGATTGGCTGGTAGCTGGGCAGGAAGTTAGGTGAGAAAGCCAAACAGAATGCTGGGAAGGAGAAGGGTGGGGTCAGGAGTCGCCAGCCAGATTCAGAGGAGGCAAGATGAGAATGCCATACTGAGAAAAGGTACCAAGCCATGCGGCTAAACATAGATGAGAAATACGGGTAATTTAAGTGTAGGAGTTAGTAATTAGCCTGAGATATCGGCCGAGCATTTATAATTAATATAAGCCTCTGTGCGGTAATTTGGGAAGCAGCTGCTGAGTATTTGGGAGTTGTTAGGACAGAAACTTCCATGTACAGAGGATTTATGGACTGAAAGGAGCATGGGTAGCCTTAAGGCAGGCACGCTGGAAGGTCTGCAGCCAGCGTGGATGATAGCTCCCACCCGGCTGTGTGGACAATGACGTCCTCCCTAGTCCTTCTCAGCCTGCATTCCTGGAAGCTCCTCACTGAGGCCACGTACAGCTAGGACACAGAGTTGATATAACAACCAGAGTGGCATGGCTGGACACCCGGGTGGCCCACGACCAGGCCCCTCCTTCTGAGGGAACACCAGTAGTCACCAAGCAGACGGTGAAGATGGTGGCTGTTTGTCCAGGAGAACAGTCCTGTGGAACAGTGTCATACTTGCACACGACAGGCAGGCTAATGGCTTTGCCACCACAAACTTGCACTACCTTGTACCACAATGTCATTAGGCCATGGAGGTTTTTCTGCTACACTGTAGTGTCCAGAGGCCTCTGTCATATATGTATCCATCAGTGACCAGGACGTTAGCTGTGATGTGACACATGGCTGAGTCAAACTGTTCTTTTCAGGAAGCTGAAAAAGAACAAAGTGCCACCTTTTGGGAGCCTGCCAAATCTACCTGTGGCTTGAAGCAACCGACCCATAGAAGCCTTCGAGGGGATCTGGAGGTCTTCCAACGTTAGTGTGATGGAGAAGGCCACACACCACATAGCCTGGACATATCGGCCATGCACACTGCTTCAAGGCACAGCCTGGGCCGGCCTCTGGGACAGCTGTCCTCTTGGATTAAGCAGAGCAACCAATTGTTCAGACTAGGACCCTACAGGGTGGTCACCCAAGCAACTGATCCGGGGCCAACCCCCACAAGAAACGGGCCAGATTACAATAGGCAAGATCTTTCTAGACAAAAGAACTTGTTAAAGCTCAAAGTAGCATGGCACCAATATTCTTTTATTTTAAAAGCCAATTGTGTTATTGAAGAAAAGGCTGTGCTCTCTACCCATTTTGGCAATGGTTGGGGACTGCTTAGGGAATTGTCTTGAAGCTGTGTATGCTCCTGGACCCGGCGTTTTCTGAAACAGACAAAAAAAGGGGGAGTGGGGTTGGTGAAATTGACAGTCTGAACTCCTGGTTCGGCTGCTGGATGAGCTGTGGCTGACCCATCCCCTGCGGAGAGAGATAAGGAGTGTGTCTTGGGAACTGAAGGGGCTCCTGTTGGAGGCACTGCGAGGCTGTGACAAGGACAGGGAAGCCAGAGGCCACTGACACCTGCTGGGGGTGAGGGAAAGGCTGCTCTCTCCAGATACCTCAAAGTGTGATTTCTTCCCATGGCACTGGCCCAGGCAGTTCCTGTCATAGAGGATGCCATCTCCCCTCTGGCTACTACCCCTGGTCTAGCAGCAAGAGGCTGGGGAGACTGGATCCTGCAACTACACGTCTAAGTCCATAGCCCAGATGGCTTCCCTTGTTCCCACCACGGGCAGTATGATGGAGTGAGGTGTATCTTAGCTCCCGCTATGGACTCCATGAGCTCCCATAATTACCTTCTTTTAATTGTGTGTATGTTTGTGGGCATATGCACAAGGGTATGGTCGTGAGCCTCTTAACATGAGTCCTCTGCAAGGAACAGCAAGGGCTCTTAGCCTGAGGCATCTCTCCAGCCTGAGTGCTTGTTTTTAGACATCATGTATTTGTTTTGTTGAAATTCTTTTTTGGTGTTTTGTTTTGTTTTGTTTTTGAGACAGGGTTTCTCTGTGTAACAGTCCCGGGTGTCCTGGAACTAACTCTGTAAACCAGGCTGGCCTTGAATTGACAGAGATCTGCCTGCTTCTGCCTCCTGAGTGCTGGGATTAATGGCGTGTGCCACCGCCGCCTGTCTGTTGAAATTCTTGAACAAAACATTTTATCAAGTATTTAGTCAAAGTCTGTCTTTAAAGCAGAAATGAGTATCCTTCCCTCAGACTGAGACCAGTTCTTGGTCATTGATTCTCATGTTGAAGGTGCACACATACACGGTCTTGAAAGCCACAGAGTCATTATCATGGGCCCCTTGAAAGAACATCAGTGTGGTGGCCAAGGGCTGGGCTTTCTGGGCACAGTGGTACACACTTGTAAACCTAGCACTTAGGTGGAGGCAGGAAGGTCATAAGTTCAAGACCCAACTGGACTATATAGTAAGACCTTGTCTTTAAAAAAAAAAAAAAAAAAGAGGAAGAAAGGGGCTTCAGAGGAAGCTCAGTAGTCAAGAAGACTTCCTGTGCAACCAGAAGGGACTAAGATCCCAGCACCCATGGAACAAAGCGATCATGATCTTGAATGTGCAACCAGAAGGGACTGAGTTGAGATCCCAGCACCCATGGAACAAGGCGATCATAATCTTGAATGTGCTCATAACTCCAGAGAGAGGGACTTCTGGGCTTGCTGGCTGCCTTCTTAGCTGAAAAATGTGAGCTCTACATTCAGGGAGAGACTCTGCTTCAAAGGGGTAAGGCAGGGAATGATAGAAACAGACAATGTCCTCTTCCAGCCCTCTCTCATACACACACACACACACACACACACACACACACACACACACACACACACTTCGTACTCACATACACACACACACAGAAAGAATGAGGAAGGAGGAAAGGACAATGATAAGGTTTCCACATCCAGCAGGCCTGGGTTGGAATCCTGGTGCCAATACCAGTATGGCCCCAAGCCGCCAACTTGTACGGTGGTTTTGCCTGGTAGGGGGACGTAAGGCTCACAGGAGCCCTGCCAAATCAGACAGCGCTCTGCCCGGCCAGCACTCGGCGTCTTGGCTCCATCACTATCATTCACTAATCTCACTCCTGGTCACGCCTGCCCTTCCTTGCTGCTCATTCTCTTCCTTTGGGAGGCAGTGGGTGGAAACAGCATCACCCCTGAGCATGGAACAGAGCAGTCAGCCTGGTGGATGACATCAGCTGCCGACAAAAGCTGCTTTTTAGAGACAGGATGTTTGCTCGGCCAAAAGCAAAGGGGCAGCCTGGAAATCTAATCAAGTCCCGGCCACACGTCAAGGGAAGCGGAAGCCTTTATTAGTGCTACTAATGGGATACAGCGAGAGTGTGCAGTCCTGTAAGGCCGGCCCACAGAATGAGAGATTGGGCAAGGCGCACGCGCAAGCGCACACACACACACTCACACACACACACACTCACACGCATACACACTCACTCACACACACAAAACCACACCTTGGAAGGCTGATGGTTGTGGCTCTGTCACCTTGTCATCCCGCTAGAGAACATCCAATAGGATCCCTTGGTTCTAATTTCACGGTCACCAGGTGACCTTGAAATTTCCCTCTATGAGAAAGCAGCAACCCCAGACACCAGTCCCTGCTTGGTGGGCACTGTAGTTTCTGGTAACTTTCTCAGTGTTCTTGGCAGTTTGGTTATCATGGGAAAGGTCTGCCCTATAGACCCAGTCGGGTGTCTGTTTTGGAGAGTGCTGATGCCACTGATGTATGGAAGTTCTCCAGCCACTTGTCCATCTGTCTGTAATTACACTGACTGTATCAACTCTCCAAGGGTCCCTCTACCAATTGTGTAGTCCAGCCGCTCTGCAGTTGACATTCTGAAGGCGACAGCCCTTGCCTTAGGGTCACCTACTCAGCCCAAAATCATGAGTCCATAGCTGAGAGACAGGGCCCAGCTTCGGGAGTGACGGCCCAGCTCAAAGGCACCTCTCCTCGGCCTGTAGGATACCTAAGTAAAGAATTAGATCAGGTAGCAAAGGGCTAGCCTGGGTGCCTGTGGGCAGTGGCTGCCACTGGACTCCTAATTCCTGAAGCCCAAAAGTTGACTCTTGGCTGTCCCCTTAAGGTCCATAAACCTCATCACATAACAAACATTCTAATTCCAAGGGAAACCTCTGGCTGGCTGGTAACAGACTTCACATATACCAGGAGAGGAAGGGGAGCCTGCCCACTCTTGTGAGGAGGTCCTCGTGGATGGTTATACAGCTCGTCCCGATCTCTCAAACCAACCATTGGCAAACCCTGACTTGGTCCTCTATACAGACAAAGTTCTTGTAAAAGAGGGGCTCCGATATGCAGAATATGCAATAGTCGTTGACCTCGAGGTGCCTGGATCAGGACCGACACCTAGAAACTAGAGGACTCAGTTAGCAGAGCCAATAGCTCTCACTCAGGCTCTAGATGGGTCCCCAAAGAAACAGAGTTAATATTTACACAGACTCCACATATGCCTTCCCTGTCCTCCACGCCCATGACACTATTTGGAAGCAAAGAGGCCTCTCCAGTACAGCTGGGACCTGACCCCTGTAAAACATTCCCAAGAATTGTCGGGCTTCCGGATGCGGTCCTTTTACCCACCCGAGTGGCTGTGATGCGCTGCCCTGAGCACCAGGGAGGATGGCCCTACACAAGATGGAACTAGACAGCTGATTCTGAGGCCAGGAGAGCTGCACTAGACACCTACAGAGCCCCACCCTTCAGGAAGGGTCCCTGCTGCCTCTCGGGAGACCCGAATATCCCTCAGAGGAAGTGGTCTTTGCTTGTGTGACAGAGTGACATCCAGACCCCAGGGGATGGGGGTGGTTAACATCCAAAGGACCAACTGCTCTTGCCAGTGTCCTACAAAGGAACGTCGTGGAGTCCCTACATCAGATCTATCACCCGAGACAGAAAAACACATTTATTTTTGAGAGGGGGAAAAATGTTTCTAGGACAAGGCTTAAGTGAGACAATCCAGCAGGCAGTACAAGGTGTGAAATGTGTCAAAAAAGTAATCCCTTGAGCAGATGTCTGCAGCCTCAAGTACCCAGAGACAGAGCATCTTCCCTGGAAAAAACTGACAAGCAGCCGGGCGGTGGTGGCGCACGCCTTTAATCCCAGCACTCGGGAGGCAGAGCCAGGCGGATCTCTGTGAGTTCGAGGCCAGCCTGGACTACCAAGTAAGTTCCAGGAAAAGGAGCAAAGCTACACAGAGAAACCCTGTCTCGAAAAACCAAAAACAAAACAAAACAAAAAAAAAAACCTGACAAGCAAACCCCTCTGTGCTTGGTGGGTTTAACTCCAAACATCTCCCTTGGTAGACACTTTCACAGGGAGGAGACTTTCCCATGTAAAACAGAAAAGGCCACTGAGGTAATTACAATGTTATTTTCTGGAATAACTCCCAGGCTTGGCCTACCTAAGAGCCTTCAGTGGCCTGCCTTTAAGACAGAAGTAACTCGAGGGTTAACCGAAGCCTTGGGAATTCAGTGCAACCTACATTGTGTGTGACAACCCCCACCCACACAGGTGGAATTCTAAGACTGCCCATCCCCCCTCATCGCCCCATTCCTACCCCCACTCCCACCGCCCACCCCCCGAACGCACATTCTCTCTTGGAATACTTACTGAGCCGACAGGCAAGAATCGGGGAACCTTAGATCGAAAACAAGAAGTGATGCAGCCCACTGAGGGTGCTTTTAAGTTATATTCACCTGGTCCAGGGCCTTCATGCTGAAAAATAGTTTAAAAAGGAGTGGGGAGAGAGAGAGAGAGAGTTCATTTTCACTAGCATTTGGTGTGTTTTAAAGCATTATTTGCCTCTTACAAATAAACACATCATCAATGATGTGATAGAAAGTTCCCAGACTGGGGTTTGCAGGATCTTGCTGTGGAATAATCCTCTTGTATACTGTAAAGATTTGTCACTCGAATTGGTTTAATAAAATGCTGATTGGCCCATAGCTGGGCAAGAAGTATAGGTGGGATGACCAAACTAAGGATGATGGGAAGGAGAAGGGTGGAGTCAGGAGAAACACCAGCCAGCCACCGAGACAGCAGGATGTGTAGAAAATGAGGTAACGGCCAGGCGTTGGTGGCGCACGCCTTTAATCCCAGCTCTCGGGAGGCAGAGCCAGGCGGATCTCTGTGAGTTCAAGGCCAGCATGGGCTACCAAGTGAGTCCCAGGAAAGGCGCAAAGCTACACAGAGAAACCCTGTCTCGAAAAACCAAAAAAAAAAAAAAAAAAAAAAAAAAGAAAATGAGGTAACAAGCCATGAGCCACGTGGCAAAGCATAAACAGAAATATGGGTTAATTTAAGTGTAACAGTTAGCCAGTAACAAGCCTGAGCTATTGGCCAAGCATTTATAAATAATATTAAGTCTCTGTGTGGTAATTTGGAAGAAACTACCTGAATGGGGAGTGGGTGGTCAGGATAGGAAAATTCCAACTACAGGATCTTACATGAGTGTGACCTAAAATCATAAGAAACTGGAGTAGCACCAGGCGGTGGTGGTGCACACCTTTAATCCTAGCACTCATGAGGCAGATCCAGGCGGATCTCTGTGAGTTCGAAGCCAGCCTGGGCTACAGAGTGAGTTCCAGGAAAGGCGCCAAAGCTACACAAAGAAACCTTGTCTTGAAAAACCAAAAAAAAAAAAAAAGAGAGAGAGAGAGAAAAGAACTCGGAGTAGTAAGCATGCTATCTATCTTACCTGTCCCAGGTATAATAACCATGAGAGGAGGGAGAGAGACTGAGTGACCCGGGGGTGTGTCTGAGTTAGGGCTTCTATTGCTGTGATGAAACACCCTGACCTAAAGCCAGTTGGGGAGGAAAGGGTTTATTTGGCTTACACTTCTATATCATTGTTCATTGTTGAAGGAAATCAGGACAGGAACTCACACAGGGCAGGAACCTGGAGGCAGGAACTGATGCAGAGGCCATGGAGAGGTGCTGCTTACTGGCTTGATCACCATGGCTTGCTCAGTCTGCTTTCTTATAGAACCCAGGACCACTAGCCCAGGGATAGCACCACCACCATAGGCTGGGCCCTCCCGCATCAATCACTAATTAATAAATGCCTTACAGCCAGATCTTAGGGAGACAGTCTCTCAATAGAGGCTTCCTCTTTTCAGATGACTCTAGCTTGTGTAAAGTTGACATAAACTAGCCATGCAGGGTGTTTCTCCATGCCCTGCTGGGATCTCCAGTGCCTGCAGGCTCCTGTCCCACACTCGGTAACCGTGCATGCACACACCTCCAGCCAGTCTGCCCTGCTTGTTGGTCTGGCTGTGAGCTGTGAATTGTGGATCAGCTGTTGGCTTTAGAAAGCATACTGACTCTCCTATGAAGGCATATATCTGTGACTGTGAGTCTGAAAAAGTAGTCCTAGCAATTCACTGGTGCAAGCGCAACACTATTGGGTAAACACAAATGGCAATCTCAAAAAACAGCAAACACTTTGCAGAAAAATTAACAGAGGACAATTCACAAAGGAGGAAATGCAAATATTCAATGAGAGAACTCATTCATAACCAGATAACTCCCAATAGTAACAGGTAACAGTGGTATTCTTCCAAATGGAAAAGAGGACTGTTGGCAGTTGTCTCAGTTAGGGTTTCTATTGCTGTGAAGAGACACCATGACCACGGCAACTCTTATAAAGGAAAACATTTAATTGGGGTGGCTCGCTTACAGTTTCAGAGGTTCAGTCCATTATCATCACAGCGGCATGTAAGCAGACGTGGTGCTGAAGCTGAGAGTCCTTACATCTGGACTCAGAGGCAACAGGAAGTCAACTGACTGTCACACTGAGTGAAGCTTGAGACAAGAGACCTCAAAGCCCGCCCCCATCGTGACACACTTCCTCCAGCAAGACCACACCCACTCCAACAAGGCCACACCTCCTCACGGTGCCACTCCCTTTGAGGGCCATTTTCTTTCAAACCACCACAGTGGTGTTCAAGGACAGAGCACTTACGTAGCTTGTATTCTACGAAAAAGAACTGAAAAAGGAGAGGGGGTGGGTGTAGAGAAGCCAAGAGGAGAGGAGAAAAATGACCTGAGGGTTAGCAAGCGTGGGCACTCCTCGGGGATGGTGGCAGAAGAATAATTTGATTGAAGTCTCTGCAGTGGGCTGGCAGGATCTACTTTAAAATGCACATGCTGGTTCAGAGAGGCAAAGAGGAAGCTGGGGTGGGTGAGCAAGAACCTCTCTCCCACTTTCAAATAGCTAGTGCTCATTGCCTCAAGGGTGGAGCAGGATAAAAAGCAGAAATGATTCTTTCTGGCAGAGTGTCTTGGCTCTGCTCCTAAAACAAATGAAGGAATGGGTTGAAGATGGGAGAGAAAGTGGGGAAACGTCCAGAAGCTAATCACTGTTGAGCGGAGCCGAGGAGGGCTCTCTGTAATAGTCAGCCTCACATGTCCAGGTATGGATGCTGTTTTGGTTTGGGTTTTTTTTGTGGCACGGGGATCAAACTCAGGGCCTCCTGACACTAGGTAAGCATCCTGCCACAGTCCTGTATCCCAAACCATAGGCTGTGTGTTCACAGTATGAAGTTAAAAACAGTATCAAGGGCTGGAGGGATAGCTCAGTGGTTAAGAGTGCATTCTGCAAAGAGATGAGGCAGGAGGAGGAGGAAGAGGAGGAGGAGGAAGAGGAAGAAGAAGAGGATGAGGAAGAGGAAGAATAATAAAATAAAATAACAGTAAGGAAGAAAGTTCATACTGCCCTTGCAGAAAACCCAGGTTGGGTTCCCAGCCTCAGCATAGGGACTAAGAACTGCCTGTAATTCCAGTTCCAGGGGATCTGATGTCCTCTTCTCGTCTCTCAGGGCATTTGCGCGTGTGCGTGCGTACACACACACACACACACACACACACACACACACACACACAACTTTCAAAAGGTAAAAATAAATCTTTTAGGAAATGTGTATTCTTTTGACCTAGCCATTCCACACTTAGGGGTTTGTCCTAAGAAATAAAGAATGTGAATTGGATAAATTCTAGCCAGAGATATTCACAGTGACTTTGCTTCCAAAAGCAAAAAATTGGAACTAAACTAAGTGACTAGTAATGTGTTTCTGGTTAAGTAATTTGACTCAGTGTTGTTATGAGTATAAAATAGCTTTTTGTTTGTTTTGTTTTTCAAAACAGGATCTCCATGTGTAGACCATGCTTAGTTCAAATGGCCTCTGAGTGCTGAGCATGGGTTACCATGTCCAGTGTGTAAGTTTCCAAGTCCCAGGCAGGAGTACACCATTCTTGGACTCACTGATAGGATAGGCCAAAGTGTGGGCTGGGCAAACCAGCTCCTATTTCATTCCCCAGCTCCAAGAGTCCCATTACTATAGTATCTTCAGGTAGAGGGTACATCGGATATTAAACTGATGTGAACAGATGTTAGACTTCATCTTAACTACAAGGTTTTTCCAGACAGGATTTCACTGCATAGCCCTGGCTGTCCTGGAACTCACTCTGTAGACCAGGCTGGCCTCGAACTCACAGAGATCCACCTGCCTCTGCCTCCTGAGTCCTGGGATTAAAGGCGTGCATCACTGCCACCTGGCAATGATCTATATTTCCAATTTCTCTACAATGAACAAAAATGCTCTCAAAATATGAAGAATAACCATAGCTAGTATATATATAGATAAGTGACTATGGAAATTGGATAAAGGAAAGGAGAGAACAGAAGCGCTAAGTCAGCATGAGGTCAGAATACAGATATGCCCGGTAGAGCCTGCTGTTCAGTAGGACTCTTCCAGGCGGGCCCCGGGGATTTGGCAGAACAAGTGCCTGGACCAGAGATCCTCAAGGGATTTATGAGCCAGGCTCCCGTGCCGCTGGTGGTCACAATAGCCATGCAATTAGGACTGCCGCTCTAATCATTCTGCCCTGAGGGCAGTCTGTTGCTAATAGCCAGGGACAAGTCTGGTCACCAAGGGAGGCGCTCATTTTCATAAATCACCGCCGAGATGAAACCGCTAACGTCTCCAACTGATGCCCGCAGGTGACAGAGGCCATCTTTAGGGAGAAGGTCTCTACATGGTGTCAGCTCTGCCTGAGCCTGCGTCGAGGGACCATGAACAAAGAAGTAAAAGTCGTGAGAATTTTGCGGTGACCATTTCTTCAGCCTTTTCTTTTTTCCACTGTGACAATGGAGACTTTCAAGCGGCCAAAGATGATGCCGAGTGTGGCCTCCATTCTGCACCTAGGGCCCTGCCTTTGGCATGAACGGAAATGCGGCATCCTGCCTGCTTTTCCCTAAGTGATTTTCTTTTCCTGGGTTGCCAAGTCTGGAATCCCGTGGGAGTCTGAGTGTCAACACCGATGAGCACTGATGTGTTCCTGTTGCCACCCGGCAGCTGCCTTGCATGGGCAGTCCTCTGAATCACAGGGACTAAGGCTTGAAACGGGAAGAAATTACCGCCACATGTGACAGATGGAATCGTCCAGTGGTAACATGAGGGAAGTGGATACGGTCCCCAAAGCATATTCCAAAGCCACAGGAATGCCAGGGAAAGGTGTAACTGTGCCAGGTGAGATTGGTCCTGTAACAGCCAGAAAGCAGTTCCAGCGGAGTCCAACTCCCTCCCACGAGGACAGCAAAGTGCGCAGGTGGCTGGAGATGCCATTTCTCAACCGAGTTCAAAGAGGAGGCTTTGAAAGCAACCATTGGCATTGTGCCCGCCCTTCTAAAGTTGAGATTTCTGACGCCTCCCACA